AATCATGCCCCCCAATCAAGTTCCATTTCAAAGGGGGGAAGCGCGCGCGTTGGTTCCCAATTTCATTTGATTCTGCTTGAAGTAACGTACGTACCGGTAGGATATAATCCTGATTCAATAGCATCGCCACGCGACCCAAGAACGAGAGTCCCAAACATTTTATTGAACCGTATATACGAGTTTTCAGAATTTTCAGAACGCTGGCTTTGTTTTATTAGACTTCTTGTATTACGGTACCTGGTGTTTACCCGGCATGTGTTTTGACTTCTACCTATTACGTTACGGTGAGTAACCTAAATCATCTTACTCCAGGCACTTGCATCGCCGCGCAAGAGCGAAAGTCCCAAACATTTTATTGAACCGTATAAGTATGAGTTTTCAGAATTTTCCGAACGCCCAGGCTTTGTTTTAGACTTATTGTATTACGGTACTGGTACGATACTGGTGCGCGCCTCGAATTTTCTTTTTAGATAGGGACAACACGTACCACCAAAATCAGAGAACGTGGTGTTACTTTTTTTTGACTTCTACCTATTACGGTAAGTAACCTAAATCATCTTACTTCAGTCACTTTTTCTAGAACGATTTTTCCTCTCTCTGAGATCGTCTTCTTATAGAAAATAACTTAAATTTATTTTCTATTTCAACGAATTACATCAAGGTTCGATCTAATCAAGACAACATGAGCGGTGGTAACTGTGAGTAGAAGACACAAACAAACTACCGCCGACTTCATCGTTCCCTTTCCATTCATTTGTTACAGATTTTCTCACTTTTCTTCTTTGGCTTTAATTATTACAGCAGTAAATAATGGAGGGGCTCTTCATTTCCTCGACATGCTAGAAAAGACCGTGAATGCCAAGAAGGACAACATCTTTGCCACTTGGTACAATAGCAACGGAAAGCCCACCAACAAATATACTTTTCAGGAGATTTGGGACGAAGCAGGTCTTATCGCCCATGGGCTACGCATTCGATATGAAATTAAAAAAGGAGATAAAGTTGTGTTGTGCTACAGCTTTGGATTGCAGTTCTTCTCTGCTTTCTTGGGATGCCTTCGAGCTGGTATCGTCGCAGTTCTTGTGTATCCACCTTCCCCCCAAAACTTGTCCAAGGCTCTTCCTAAGTTGGCAAAAATCGCTGAGGATTCCAATGCAAAAGCGGTGCTTATAGACGAGGCAATCAACTTGCTTCGGCTCAATCCGTTGTCGAAGAGTCGCAAGCTCTGGCCACAGAATGTCAAGTTCATAACTCACCCCAAGGGAGAGTCTTCTTCTCGACGAGTTCTGTCATTGACTAAAATCAAGGAGGTCAACAAGGATAGTCACATCATTTCAGAAGACTTGGCGTTTCTTCAGTACACTTCAGGAAGTACAGGTGATCCGAAAGGGGTTATGGTAACCTTCGGAGCTTTGAGAGCAAACGTTGAAAATATCATTGAAAGTGTGAATCAAGTATTTGAATCCTGTGGCAAACCCACCGGGAACATTGTCGGATTGTCGTGGCTTCCTCAATATCATGACATGGGCTTGGTCTATGCAATTGTGGCACCATTTTGTGGCGGTTGGAATTGTAACATGATTTCGCCTTATGATTTTATTAAGAATCCACTACTATGGATCGAATTGATGTCACGCCTTAGCGTGAACTGGTCGGTGGCGCCGAACTTTGCATATAGGCTTGCAGCTCGAAAGTTTATTGAGAAAAAGTCTAGTTGTAATGGTGAAAAGGAGCCCCTTCCAGGTCTTGATTTGTCTTCCGTCGTTTATTTGCATAACGCTGCCGAACCTATCCAGATTGATACTAGGAAAATATTTCAGGAGGCGTTCGGAAGCTATGGACTCTCAAACAGCTGGTTTATGTCGGGCTATGGTCTAGCAGAGTCTGTAGTTTATGTTTGCTATCTACATGACTACAAACTATCTACGTTCGAACCAGCAACTGGGCAACCGAGCGTAGCTGTTGGGTACAGAAAACTTTTTCCAAGCGGCCAAGTCGTCAAAATTGTAGACCCGAAAACTATGCAAGAGGTCGACGACCAACAAATAGGAGAACTTTGGCTGTCGGGACCTTCTATCACAGCAGGCTACTTTGGGAAAGCGGATTTAACAAAAGAGATGTTCCACGCAAAACTCAAGGATTATGACGATCGCTTTCTTCGCACAGGCGATCTCGGGTTCTTCGAAGATGATTATCTATATATCTGCGGTCGGCAAAAAGACGTGATCATTGTAAATGGAGTGAATTATTATCCCCAAGACATTGAAAACGTTGTGCAAAGCGCTACAAAGGCAGTTAGACCAGGTTGCGTAGCTGTATTTTCCTCGGATGATGCAGTCGCCGAGGGTGACCTTGAGGTAGTATTCGAAGTACGGAAGGAGTATGAGCCACATTTGTCGCACATAACGAACACGATTCGATTGAAGATCATAGAAGAAATTGGAATTGTCCCATCAAGAGTGGTTGTGATCAAGGAAAGAACAATTCTTAAGACAACCAGCGGCAAAATACAGCGCAAGGCTAATCGGAATGCGCTCAATGAAAGTACTCACAAAATAATCTATGAGTATGATGGCTCAATGGGGGAATCTAGAAAATTAGCTACAGTTGAAGGCATTGATTCAAATGACTCTTTTTCAAGTAACGATCCCTTCGACAAGATAATGATTGCTTTTTTTGGTGGTGATTTTGATGATGCTAGTTCATGGGATGAATTGGGATTGGGATCGATGGCCTCTCTCTCCTTGAGAGACGCAATATCTGATTCTTTCGCAATCATTCTAGACTCGGATTGCTTTGAACAGTATCCAACCCCTTCTGCACTCAAGACGTTCGTATTAGGAAACCAAGGTGATGCTCTTGAGGTTGATCTTCCTTTGCTCGCCTCTCTGGGTAGCAAAGAACTCTCTTGGGCTACGATAGGCGTTTTGCAAGGATTTTGTAGCATTCTATTGTTCTTTATGTTCTCGGTCTCTATTGTACCAGCTTGGTTTGTTGGCAAGTTGTTTGCAAAGATAAATGCTTCGACCACAATTCATGCGCCTGGAACAGATGATACGTTTTCTTGGCTTTGGTTTCCAGTGGCAATTCCTGTATGGATGACATCTCTTTCCCTTTTGACTGTCCTGCAAAAATGGATTGTGATTTGGAAGTACAAAGAAGGTATTGTAACCATTCCCAGTATGCATTATCTTCGTTGGTGGTTCATGGATAGAGCAGTCGCTCTATGGGAGTTCTGGGTAGGACGTTTCATTATCAACACCCCGTTGATAAAGCTGTTCTATTTTCTGATGGGTGCAAATATTCACAGAACCGTGTCTGTTGAAGCGTTCATTCGTGAGTTCGATCTTGTACAGATTGACCGAGGGACATCCCTACGATTTCAAGTGCACTGTCGCAAATTTGGAAGGTGGGAAAAAAATCAAAACCCTACACTCAAATTACGTCGCACGTCTATCGGTCGTAATTGTGTTGTGAAGGGCGCACTGTCGCTCGGTGCGTCTGTTGATAACAGCGTTACAATTGAAAACCTCTCAGTCGTCCCAGAGGGTGCCATAGTGCCCGAAGGGACGCATATTGTTGGGAATCCAGGACACGCTGCAAAAAAAGCATACTATCAAAGCGCATCCGTATCGTCGGTCAATGAAGCCAAACAAACTTCTTGTTTTCTTGGAATTCTCAAATTGTTCTGGTTGGTTTTCGAGCTGTATCTATTTTTTGCAGTGATGTTGCTTGCTCAATACTTATGGGTTCCTCGCCTTCCACGTGATTGGAGATATGCTCAGTTGCTGAAATGGACTCTTCTGATTGTCTGGTTTAGTTCCATATCGATAATGACGAGTGTAATGCTAAAATGGGTACTTATCGGAAAGCGTAGACCAGGGAAGTTCAATGAGTCCTTGTGGAGATTATTTGCAGATTGGGCAGCAGATTGGCATTTTGAGGCAGGAGTTGGGCTATTAGTTTGTGTGACGAGTAATTCCCGACTTTGGAATATTGTTCTTATGATTCACGGTATGGATATTGACTTATCGTCCAGAGTCGCTGGTGTTGGTAAATTTGTCCCCTCCAAAGTTGATCTCATCAAGGTGAAGAATTCTTTTGTCTCAGTTGCTACTTTCAGCACAAAGAGCAACGGCAAGTATCATGAAATAACGATTGAAAGTAGCAGCATTGGGCTATCTGTTCATGTGAGCCCCGATGGCGAATTGAATATCAGAGATTCGGTAGTACCCCCAATGACACATTTGACAGAGAGTTCTATCAAAGACACCCCAGATCCACGAGCGTTCAACTTGACGTTGATGGATATCATCACCCAAGAATTCTTGGTTAATTTTGGGTATTTGATGTCGTTTGGTTTCATATTTTGCACACTGATCCCTCCGTATGACCTTTGGATAACTGTGTTTGGCAATCCATCTTCTATTTGGATTGCAGTCCCCGCCTTTGCAAGTTCATTGATGACACAGACGGTAGTTTGGACTATGTTCATTGCCTGCTTTCAGAGTGTTGCATTGATCAGATCACGGAAAATTCCTACAAGACCATTCAGTAACACCTTGTACTCATTGTATGGAACAATGACATTTGCTTACCAGAGCTATTCCTTTGTGAATGCCGTTCTTGGAAGCCCTATCTTCAATTTCCTCATGAGAATACTGGGAGTAAAGATCGAGGGCCGTGCATTATTGTATCCTCATAGAATGTATGAACACTTGCTCATTTCTGTCTCTGATGAAACTATTCTTGATAGCCCTCAAGTTACCGGTCACTATGTTGTGTACGGAGATGTGGTTTTGGGACCCAGCAGGGTATCTGGTGTCATGCATGAGGGTTCATATGCTGCAAATGCGTTAATAACCTCTGATGAAAGCGAGCAAATGCGAGTCTTCATAGGTACATACGAACAAGACAATGGACTCTCCACGATGGCTTGAGGGTGAATTTAAGTTCCAAGAAACTCTGAACCATCAATAGCTTAAATTGTCGATAGTAACCAATATGAAAGTGCTTTTTTGTGCCCTATGTTGTTTCCTCCGTTTGCACGGTGCCTATCGCAAAAGATGACGTGCAAGCCAAAGCTTTATTCGGACGAGATGCGGTTGCTGCGTCAAGTGCACGCATGGCTTCATTCAAGTCGTTTTTGCAGCCATCAAAATGCTCATTGGACACTTCGTATCGTTGCCACCATTCTCTTTTAAAAATGGATTCCAAAACACTACCGGTAACGTTGGTACTACTGCTTGTATTCACCGAGGTGGTATCGGCAGTCGACAAGGCCATAGCAATATTAGTCCSGGCASCACCATCGCCATTCCGTTGTATTACATCCTGTTTCGCCAAGTCTATGGCAGCGCACGCAAGCTCGACGACACCCCACCGTAGCGCCTTAGGATAAAAGAGAGCATCATTCAATCGAGTAAACGCTAAAGGTAGGATTTTGTCCCCAACACCATTGCCGTGATTTATGGTCGTCATGTCGTCCGGTTCTCTCCAACTCGTGCTTTCGTCGTGCTTTCGTTTATGAGGCGCAATTGTCATCGKCAGAGCTTGTTGGGCTCTATTTGGATGGCGTTTCTTGTGTGATTCTCCTGGCCATTCCTCCGATGAATATTTGCGATGACAATKGCCTCCGGTTTCACTCTTTGTTGGTTGGGTTGCGGTCTCGTTTCTCAAKATCCAAAACACCGCTCGGTGCGGATGGGAGACAGAACAATCGAATCCCAGCCATTGCAAAACCATTTGTTCCGTTTCGATCGCCTTTTTCTTGGAATCCCAATAAACATTATCCAGTGGAGGAGGACGCGACAAATTCATGGTCACGAAGCCTTGGTCGTTGGATTTGGGCTTCCCTGTGCATTCCTCACCGTTGCTTTTCGCTGTGCCCGTTCCTGCTCCTGCTTCCGTAGTACTCGGCAGTGGCGGTGCCGATAACACCATTTGTGCCAGGTTTATGACGTCGCGCAGTCGTCGAGGTTCGTCTTCGGCCTTGCAAGCCAAAAATATGCTGACCGCTCCGATCCAAGGCCAATCTTCTCCCGATTTGCCGCTGYCGTTGGTGCAACCAGTGCCGTTGCTATTGCAATCAGTACGTCGCGAACGTTCGCGTTTCGCTTGCGCGTATCGGTGAAGCAACACCAATGCGGTAAATCTGGTTTCCATTCCCAATCGAAGAACTTGGCACGCAACGTACATTCGAAAAAGAAACGACAGAGACGGGGAATGCGATAGCGAGGTGGATCGATCCTGGGATGGTGAGATATTTGGTGTTTTCGGTTCTGGTTCTTCCGTTGGTGCCGTCCCCAACCGATTCATTGGCAGACCATCGTTTCGGGGTTTATCATTGTCTTCTCTCTCATTTTCAGTTGTATTAGGAGCTCCGAAAATGCTACAAAATGCAGGTTTTACTGGAGGAAGAGGTGGTCGCAGAGGGAGGGACGAATGGCAATATGAGCGCGTTCCTCCCGGGACGTCGGTTGCCACCATMAGCAGTTTCGGTGAGTATTTTCTCCGATGGCGTCTCGAGAATCCTTGATTCAGCAAAAAGGTCAGTTCCCGTTAGATTGGTTTGGGTTGTTGCGTTGCGTTAGGATCGACGAGTTGAGATGATTCCTTTTGGAAGCTACGCAGTCCACAATTCGTACATGGTTCCTTTCTTTCCTCGTATTGGTCTTGACACAGGTAGAGACGAATTTTGATGTCACGAGCACCGGAGAACGGAAGGTCCAAAAAAAAATCATGGTGCGGACCGGTTTTCGGGCTTCCCGTGCCGTGTGTCCATGGTCCATGGCCCTCCTGTTTCGAATTGGGGCTGTACGTATGGTGTAGTAGGACTTTTACTAGGTACGTACTCGTACTATCTGTGATGTTTGGAAAATAGGTAGTGTTTACATGGAGTACGGTGGTAGATACAAACCGTACGAAGATATTATTGTACCGTAACTAACAGATGATTCCCGCACGGTCGCACGAAATGCGCGCTCCAGAATAGTTTTACGAATAAACTTCTGAAAACTCGCTACATTCATTCGTCCGTCTGTGACTGATTGTAAACATCTGACGTGAGATCGTGCAGTCGTGTACCCATTCCACTACTACCAACTCGTTCGCTCAGTACGAAAAATACGTAAAGTTGACGTTGTGTGTCCCTGGTAGTACCGGGTGGAGTAAAACGTATTGAATGAGTCAACGGCGAGTCAGTAAAAACTGTGCGACCCTCACTGCGAGGCTGAAAGCGCCCACAAACAACGAAGAACACAGCGTTCTGTGTACCCAAACAAATACTGATCGAATGAGGCGTTTTGYATCCACTTTCATCAAAAAGACACAAAAAGAAAAGAAACCCGGCGAGCCTACACACATAGATGGAATTTACCAACCAACCAAGTTACAGAAGACGCCTCTAAACCTTTAAAAATACAGCTGATCACAATGAACACTTCTTTTTCAACCTCGCTGATGCTACTCGCAATCCTTGCGTGCGCGACAACCGCATTCGCTCCAATGAGCATCCCGACGAAACGCTCGGAAATGTACATGAGACGGGGACGCGGGAGTGGCCTCAAGCGAGAACTGGATGACTCGTCGTCGTCGTCTTTCACCGGAGGAATGGGAAAATCGTCCTCGGGCACGAATTGGTTGAATACGAAGAAGTCGGTCAAGGAACTTCCAACAGAAGAGGGCCAGGTACGGTTGGTTTTCGAACGCGATTGGAGTTAAAATTCGATAACGAACTGCTGCTTTTTGGAAGAACAATTTGTCTCTGTAGCCGCTGTGTGTTCGATGAGCCATATGACACTACTTGCTGACGCCTGATTTTCGCTGACTTTGATGTATTTGTCGATGAACCGTCATTTTTCCTGTTGAATCAAAACCAACCAAACTGTACACGTATGCGACTTCGATCCAATTGTGGAAACAAAATTTCTCTGGAAACAAACACAAAACAACAGGTCAAGCTTATCGAAACCGGTGCATTCTTGTTAGTGAACAAACAAACAAATCCCGGAGGCGCTGCTAGTACCGTGAAATATGGTGGAGAAACATACTGCTTCCAGGCGAATTGCCCTCAGTGCCAGGTAAATAGTATGCCGCGATTCTGATCTTGTTTCGGCGCTGGTGTGTCTTTAGAACATCCAACGTTTCAATGTAATCAACTCAGTGCCTATTCATCAAGCTCAAATTTTGATTTCGTTTTCACATGACTGCGTGCAATCCAATCGAATTTGATTTGATTTGATTTGATTTGATTCGGTGACTGCTGCACGCGAAATTTATTCAAACAATATTAGGTGCCCATGACAAAGGCCAAGGTCTTGCCTCCCAACGACGAGACCGACAACAAGGCACCCCGGGTGGCCTGTGATCTGTGCAAAAGCACCTACAACATGAAAACGGGGGAGAAAGTGGAGGCTGCGGAAACCACTGGGTTTTTCGGAGGGATGGCCAAGGCGGTGCTTGGCTCGAATGATGGCGGCAATCTATCGACGTACCAACTCGGTGAAAAGAACGGCAAAATAATGTTTACCATGGAGGGCATGTAACAAAGTACTGTACACGACAAAGTGACTTCAATGCGCCACGGGGCATTTAACGGTTCGCAAACCGAATTTTAAACCGCTAATTGACTATGAAGGGCGATTGAACCCTGTGATCCTGTAACTTGAATAAGAACTAATTTGGGAAACAAAGAATATTGTCGGTACGTTGAACTACTCAGGAGGGGAAACCCTTTCAGCTACAATGGAATAGAAAAAAGAATCCATCACGAAATCCAAAGCACAAGGGTGTCGAATGTTGGCGAACAACGCTAATAAAAATTGATATTACGGTACAATATAATACTTCATTTTGTTGATGAAATCCCCCTCAACTCTTTTTAGAACCAACCGAATTTAAATATGGTGAAGAAAGGTAAACCTTTGCACCTTTTCACATTCATTTCATCTTCTCATTACGTGGAAAGATACGGCGATAGATCTTACAACATTGTAGCCAACAGAAATCCAATCCAATCTATTTATAACGCGATGATTGATCATGATCCAGCCGGCTGTTGTCTGTAGTTAAAATGTAAGGAAACGAAAAAGATTTCTTCKATGGAATTTGRCAAGAAGRTCATTGCAGAGGTCGACTGATGTAACATGTACAGTTAATTGGGAATTTGTRCTTATGCAYTAATATTCTCATTATTTTGTGTTCAAGATGAATGTACAACGTGTACAGAGCATTCTTTTCTATCATGTTCTATGTTCGTTGGGCAAAACGGTACGTGCACACAGCAAAGACGTAAATGAGTATGGTGCATGCTGTTTGGTCCCCCCTGTTAAACCTGGCCAGTCGGTGAGTTAGGAAAGGGATCAAGAAATTGATAGGTTGTGCCGATTGGATTGCCTTGATKGTAGTCGTAGTTCGYTCTTCTCTTTCGTCCTGACCGCTTGACTATCTTGATAGTACAGGGATGGATGATCCATTGGGAAAAGAAAACGATCGAAGATGACTTGGAGGAAGAAGGAGAAGGTAGATTCGATTAGGATTTTCGGTTCGATACAGACGGAGAGCGATCGTATGTGTAACAATCAAACCGATGTAGAACGGCCTTTTCTATAGGCCGACGTTTGGTGTTTCTTTTGAAAGGCAATCGAATGCCTTTGCTCATTTCGGTTCAGTACAACAGTATGATATGCATGTAATAAAACAGTATGGATATCCCTTCATGAACACTGGTGAGAATTTGATTGAATCAATCACGAGAAAGATATCTTTCGATAGAACAAGTATGATCTCAACTATTCCACGCATGGAGCTGCAGAGGAAACTTCAGAAGATACAGCAAGTCGTTCCATAGAAGTTCCACTCTTGCTCAATGCCACTCGAAAGGTCGATTCGGCAGAATCTTGAGAAGGAGAGCGATGGAGTGGTTGTGGTCTGCTTTGCAGTGCATAGGGCAAGGCCACACCGCACTGTTCTAGAAGAAGTCGGCGCTTGATACGGCGGAGAGTTCTAGCGAGCTGCACTGCGTCTTGTGGATCTTCCTGGACTAAATTTGAGTTCAGCATGCTGACCTTGTTGGTTACAGACGTCATGATTGATTTTGTTTCGAGCTTGATTGAGATGTCAGACAAATTTGTGACTGATGCAATAGATCATTCCATTGGCGTACCGTAGAGAAAAGTGTGCTTAAAATTTGTGTTCCAGAATGTGGGGTTTTCAATATGCCGCCCTACCGTAGGGTTTGAAACGATGATACTACGCTAGGGGAAGAGAATCCGAACGTGCTTCGAAAGAAGAATTGCAGGAGAGAAATATTGTATGGAATCTTTTTGGCTATTTCTTGTTGCACGTTACGTACGGTTGGTAGACGAGACACTTTTCTAGTGAACCGTACGTACTAACTCATCGAGTTTTGACACGAGGTGTCTCACAACTTCGTATCATTTCCTTTGTACTGTACTTCTACGTGACACCTGATACCTATTCCGCTCATTTTTTGACAGGAGCATGTTGATTGATTGGGTTCTCCAAGTTGACCCTTGATAGAAAACCCTATTTTCACAGGATGTTTGAAGAAAGAAAAAAAAGAGAATGAACGATACAATGCATCTCCTGAAATATTCCACGGAACACAGGCGACATGTCTGTGAGTGAAGCACATGAATTCTTTGTTTCGTTTTGTTGGCATATTCCAAACACTTTATTTGATTTCTAGACAAAACATTCGAGAGCTATCAATTTGTTGTCTAGTCAACGCCATCAAAAACTGCCATTTTCCATGACGCCAAACGACTGAAGATCATAGCCATTAAGTGAAGGTGCGCGATGACGTACGAAGAGGACTGGTTTCTATKATTCTTTCGACAAGCGACATTCTACTAGTTGTTCTATTCGTTTACAGTCCAATACCGGCAGACAGTTGAAACGCTTCTCGGTATTAGTAGTACTTATCCTACCGTACCTCCTCATCATACCAGTACAACGAGGAGTCACAGGTGTTTGCCCGGGCATTTTAAAGCGACTTTTGCGTTCATTTGGAGTTAGGGATAAAGGTGATATTCTGTGGGAATCAAGCAATATGATTGGCTAATTAGACCCTCACATCATTCCCAAGGCACATTACAGACCAATTTCAATCAGGAACAGACCAATTTCAAGGGGGTAACCATTTTTGATAATTTAAATCATTCTAATTAGCCAATCAAATTGCTTGATTCTGACAAATATCACCATTATCCCTAACTCTAAATTAATGCCAGTCGTGATTGTAAAATGTCATCTGTA